GCACGCCACAGGCGTGCGTTCAATCAAAACCCGACCCTCAGGGGTCTGGGTCATCAACCAAACGCACATCACAAGTGTGCGTTCAAACAAAAAACGACCCTCAGGGGTCTGTTTCAGCATCCAAACGCACATCACAAGTGTGCGTTCAAACAAAGAACGACCCTCAGGGGTCTGTTTCAACATCAAAACGCACACCACAAGTATACGTTCAATCAGGACAGGATCCACAAGGATCTAGTCCATCAATTAAACACAGGCCTCGGCCTCGTGTTTATAAACCAAAACGCGACTCTCGTGTTTCTTCTCAAGAACACGACACGGTCCGTCAGGTTCAAAAGGGACAGCATGGATTTAAGATTCATGCCCAACCCATCCAAGGGCAGGGGGTTCCATCTCCACCTTCACGAGATTTTTCCCAGGTCTCCGACTTGCGTGAGCTATTGACAAGAGGAAGGCCAACACAGCAAGTAGCCCATTCATGCCAGTGTGAACGGCTCATTTCCGCTGTTCTCTCCGAATGCAGTTGTTGTTCACCTACGCCTAGGCAGTCGGTGTTCAATAGATTGACGAATGTCGCTAGACCTGCTAAACGACAGCGTCACCAGAAGAAGACCTCTGAAATTGAATATCCTGAGGTCACCATCAACATGGTCGGCAGAGGCAAATCCTCACATCCTGATTCTGATGAGTCACAAACAAGTCATTCCCCGACTGTTCGGGAAATCTGTGATGAGTTTGAGGGAGTATATAGGCATACTCGGACTCAGACAGGAGCTATTCGCCCGGTTAACTATCAAAAGTTGGCCAAAGGAATTACAACAAGTGATGAGCATTCGGCAATAGCCGAATCTCAATCTTCGAGCTCGGTCGGACCACAAGAAGTATCTGCTTACATGGCGGGAAATCCTGAGGACATAGCCAAGAGAGTGAACGAACACCAGGTCATGCTCCAGGCACAACAGGAGACACTTCTCCAATTAAAGGATATGATGGCCCAACTTATTGCTGAAAAAGGCCACAAACCCGAATCTTCCCGGAGGACAACCTCAAAAGGGAAACAGAAAGCGACCGAGCATTCGGATCGTGAGACTCTCAACTTGGGATCCTCTTCTGAGGGTGAAAAGGAGGTGGAAAAAGAACTGCATCCTCAATCCACTAAAATGGATGAACTAGAAGCTCGCCTCAATGCAATCGCCAACAGAAGTGAGCTCCGTGAAGAAGGAGTGGTGAGACCTTATCCTGCCGAATGGGATATAGCTCCATACCCGTCAAAGTTTAAAGCTCCAACCTTGCAACCGTTCGATGGCACAGGATCGCCAAATCAACACATCTACTATTTCAAATCTCAAACTGGAGATGTGGTGGCGAACGATGCCATCTTGACGCGATTGTTCATTGGCACTCTTAAAGGAGTGGCATTTGAATGGTTTATGAAACTGCCTGCTGGATCTATTCAGAAATGGGTAGATTTGGAAAGGCTTTTCTTGGCTAGGTTCTTTGAGGATGATACGGAAGTTTCTGTCCCAACTCTTCTCGCCACCAAGCAGAGGAAGGGAGAATCCATCAAGGCTTACGTGGAGAGATTCCGTAGCATGGCATTGCGATGCCCCTCAGGTATGACTCAGTCAACCCTGGTTGAAACTTGCAGGCACAACTTGCAAACTCAGCTCCTTGCCCAGATGGGGGTAGCAGAGTGTCGCTCCTGGAGACAACTTGTTTCGCAAGGAGAACAAGCTGAAGAGATCGTAGCTCGGGTGAAAGCCGAGGAAGCTGCACAACCCAAGCCGCAACAGCAACAGCAACAGCAACGCAACCAGAACAACGCTCAGCGGTCTAAGGGAAAAGAGACCCTAGCAGCCGACTACTCTCGGGTACCACCGCCCACGAATCAAGGCAAAGCTCCCAATAAGCAAAAAGTGCCCAAACAGTATTCCTTCAAGGAGGAGCATGTGGACACATTGTTTCAGCTACTGCGGAAGGGAGTGGCTTTTGAATGGTTTATGAAACTGCCTGCTGGATCTATTCAGAAATGGGTAGATTTGGAAAGGCTTTTCTTGGCTAGGTTCTTTGAGGATGATACGGAAGTTTCTGTCCCAACTCTTCTCGCCACTAAGCAGAGGAAGGGAGAATCCATCAAGGCCTACGTGGAGAGATTCCGCAGCATGGCATTGCGATGCCCCTCAGGTATGACTCAGTCAACCCTGGTTGAAACTTGCAGGCACAACTTGCAGACTCAGCTCCTCGCCCAGATGGGGGTAGCGGAGTGTCGTTCCTGGAGACAATTGGTGTCGCAAGGAGAACAAGCTGAAGAGATTGTAGCTCGGGTGAAAGCCGAGGAAGCTGCACAGCCCAAGCCGCAACAGCAACAGCAACAGCAACGCAACCAGAATAACGCTCAGCGGACTAAGGGAAAAGAGACTCTAGCAGCCGACTACTCTCGAGTACCACCGCCCACGAATCAGGGCAAAGATCCCAATAAGCAAAAAGTGCCCAAACAGTATTCCTTCAAGGAGGAGCATGTGGACACCTTGTTCCAGCTACTGCGGAAGAACAACAAGTTACAGCTTCCCGAAATTAGGAAGCCAGAGGAAGCAGGAAAGGTAGATGACCCTAATTACTGCCGCTATCACAGGTTCCTAGGGCATCCTACCAGAAGATGTTACATCTTTAAGGACATCCTCCAGAATTTGGTGGACGCTAAAGTGCTTACTCTGAAACCTGAACAGAAGACTGTTTCTACCAATATGATAGCAGTCCAGTTTGGTGACTTCCCTCCAGTGGAGACCGCAGATGGCGTTGTCCCCATCCATAAAGGGGAAATGCGTCTGAAGAATACTGACCTGCACAATCAGAGGGACAAGGGGTTGATACCCCTTACCACCTCGAAAGGAGAAGTCATGTGGGTTCATCCTGATCTAGTGGGAGACCAGCAGTGGACGAATACCTCGTCCAAGAAGAAAGGAGGCAAGGCTAAGTCTTCCAACACGATTAGCCCCTCCATCACTTCAAGAAGTTGAGGAACAGCCCCAAGACGCTGCTGCATACCCAGGAGACAACCCTGGCACTCGGTCAGGAAAGGCTTACTTGAAAGATTACGGCCAGAATGTTCAAGAAGTTGAGGAACAGCCCCAAGACGCTGGGGGTTCTGTCTCCAAAAATCCAGTTGATAAAGGGAAACAGAAAGAACTCCGGTTCAACAGGAATCTCCACCAGGAACACGGGGAGTCG